CCAATCAGACAGACTCTTTTTTATTTGTTTTGATTGATACTTTGTCGACGACTTTTTTCTCGAGACGATAATTCACTGCTCGGTACGGGTTTTGAAATAATCTGTGATAGAAAAAAGAATGAAATTTGAGATTTTTATTATATAATCCGCTATATCATATGTATAGGAAATGCTGATGAAAAAATAAGAAACCTTTTTTCACAGAAATCCTAAATACAGTTAAATCATAAATGAAATAATCAATTACCAGAGATATGTCCTTTGCTATAGGTCGAAAGACGTAGAAGACGATGTAAGAAAAGAAACTAAGATTATCGTACTTAAATATAGATCTAGTGAGAACAGAGTATTTATTGTATATTTTTAATGTGCAAAGATGGAAATGTAGTAAAGAGTAAGAAGCGTCCTATCTTTGTAATGAAACTTTCGTAGTGTACTGATAAGTTTATGAGTAAATCTGGAGAAGTTATAAGACTGTTTTCATTTTTTCCATCTGTTTTTAGAGAAACGATGACTCAGATAGATGGTGTGGGTGTGGGTGAGTGTGAGTACTCTATTTAGCCTACACCACATTCACACCCAATACCGCTATTTGTATGCTTCTTTTATCATCTCACGTGATAAAATACCATGATTATTATTAGAAAACATTCAAATCAATATGATTGTTGCAAACCATTTCAAACCAGTGTAAAATAATAGTGTTAGACACTTAAGTAATTGTTACAAATAAATATCATTTTCATTAAGACATTCCTGCGAGTAAAATGGTCTTCTAATTTTTCGTAATACGAATAAACTTTTTTGCGCATAAAAAGCAAAGTCATAAGAATTTTAGAGTATCTAAGTCAGTTAATTCTGACTAATCTTTCTTAATTTTCTAATTTTCAGCTGAATTTGAATTCTTCTAGACTACTGCAGATAGGAGCAAGTGTGATCGAATAATTTTATCTGACTTTGATTCTTAAGAACTAGTTGTTTTACTTTTGAGTTGGTGCCAGATAGTTTTATTTAAATCAAAATTCCAGAATGACAGCATTATTTCTTTTCTTTTATAGGTTTGTAAATAGTGAATCTCAAATTTACGACCGATCATGATTTCATTTAGCATTGTTGTCTTTTTGATATTTATCTATTAATATTTTTTTTAATTTTAGCCATACCTGCTTGCAGTGCTGTTTGCTGTGCTGTTGCTATGCATTCTTACACTTGTACTCCTTGTCTTGATGGCCATAACAGTAATGCTCTTGTTTATTGTTTTCATTCTTCTGGTGATTATGGTGTTATTTATCATACTACTAGTGATTGTAATACTGATGCTACTTATCAGGGTGGTTCTGGTTTTAGTCTTGGTTATTCTTGTTATCATTGTAGTGATGGTTCTTATACTGCTGGTAATACTAATAATGCTGGTTGTGGTCCTTAAGACAGAATATATGTTGGTCTGTTTTTTTGTGAAGCAATAACAACACACAAAAACAATCATAAACATTTATACTGACATTTGTTTTGCGAAAACGAACATTATTCGTAATTTAATTTTTTTTTATGATCTGCTTGTGAGCAATTTTTTTCTTTTCTTTTTCTACTAATTAGCTAGTATTTACAGAACTTTTTAAATATCAAGAAGCCACTTCTTGTTTTTTAGTTAGCATTTATTCCATTGTGTTTTTTCATTTCAATCCACATCTTTTCTAGTTAGCAACTTAAATAAAAACTTAAATTCATAATTTAATACATAATTGAATTAACTGAATAAGATGAACATAAGATTCACCAAAAATGATGATAATATAAGAAATTAATATGATACTGTGATGCTTCGATGGTGAAAACTGTCCTTATCGAACGTTCTACAAAGTTTGTTATTCAATATTTTTTGGCTTCCTTCATCCTGTCATAACTATCTTGCACTTTCATGATAAATATACTTTTTCCGTACGATTGTAATGTACGTTTTTATGTTTATAGATGATTCCTAAAATAAATCGATTCTTCAATATATCGTCTTTTCGAGTCGCTATAATCGTCGTTGATAAACACTTCAATTAAATCCAGCCAGGGTTGTCAGATCAAAAAGTTATAAATGGAATATTTCTGTAATAACTCAGAAAAATTGAGCCGCTTTTTCTTGCAGTAGTTTGAAAAGAAGCAGAAGACAGTTATTTGTCTTTTCCTTTACTACAATATGTTTGTTTAATCAGCATCTACTTAATTACATACAGCTCAACGAAAATCAGAAATCGATAACAGTTATGTTATTTTAACCAATATCTTCCTGGAAGAAGCTTCTTTTAAAGAGTGACTCGAACTCATTATTTATGTCTGAATGAAACTCAGCTTAGAATGTAAAAAATATCATGTGCGAAAATAATTTCTTAAATTGAATATTCAGTTTCTGTCAAGGAAACTGTTTATTTACGTTAGATGACTTTTTACGACAATACAGAGTGTTTAGTTTATTTCGAAAAAAATTTAAATTCAAGGATGTGTTAAGTTCTGCAGCATGGAACGATTTTAGGAGAATGAGAATGACATTGAATTCCTAATAAAATTTCAATTAGGCATCGTAATCAAACATACAAAAGACAGGATCTAAAAAAATATCACAGTTCGCAAAAAATCCAGAGGAAATCACCAAGTCAGAAAATATTCTGGAAAATTGTCAAAATTCGGAACTTTTCCTGTAATTGCCTGAGATCTATTAACCTTGAATCAAACGTACATATGCATATCCTTTCTTGGTGGTGTTGTATCATTTCTGAATTGTTGAAATGTCATCCTTTTTTAGTTTATTCGTTTATGGTGTGATATTCTTTTCTTTATACAAAAGATTATTTCTCCATAATAAAGCTATTAGCGTAATCCTTGAGAGTTAAAGGTGGGTAGATGTGGGTATGTGACGTATATAACACGCATACCCACATCCTCACCCATATCCTCATGACGTTAATGGTATCAAAATGCCATATCCAGCTTGTGCAGCGAACGCTATCAAACCAACCATGTAATAAAATCTTGATACACTAAAGGAAACAATTACGAAGATTTTAAGAGAGACTCCATGACAATATCGAGCAACGTTCCAATATATGAGGCACTAGACAAAAAATACTCTTTTGATCTTTCATGTGCATTTGAAAGATCATGTTTTGAAACTAATAAACCCAAATTTTTAACTCATTTGGATGTATTATAAAAAAGTTAGCCTAGATCGACTTTTGACCACTACCAACCTATGACTTAAAATTTAGCCAAAACTTAAGTTATATATCTTCACTACAAAAAAAATTTATAAATTGGAGAGTTTTTTCACGTAATATACCAATAGATAGAGTATGAAAAACTGAACAAAGCGTACTATTTAAAACGTTCAATAACATCTCTCTACTGAGATTATATAGGCTAACATTAGTAGAAATCCTTACGTTTTATGAGTCTATGAGGTTGGTTTTTGGCATATATATCTCGTGCCATTTTTCCAAATTAAAATTACCCAGTCTGAATTTGTGATATGTCGTGTAACTTTTAATCCTCTACAAAATAGTAAAAAAATATCGAAAAAAAAGTGTAAGGTGGGTATAGATTCTTGTAAAAAGTTTTAGCGAAATATCGTGTCAAAATCGATTGAAATCGATACAATTTTCAATCATGATAATAAATTATCCTGATTCTAATCGAAAAAAACGCTTGAAACTAGGCGTGTTACTTTATGTTTATTTTATGAAGAATAAAGATAAAGAAATAAAGTAAATTTTTATATTTATAAAGTAGAGATAAAGTTAATCTTGATTTATAAAAATAGAGATAAAATAAAGAATAAGGTATGATTTTTTTTTAAATTTAAAAAATAAAAGTTGCCCTGTTATGACGACAAGCTATTTCTAATAGAAGCGAAATTTATACATTATTCTTTATTTTATAAAGTAAAGATAAAATAACACCTTTATTACATATAATGGCTTAAAAATAATACGATAATGATAAAGTAAATAACCAAGAATAGGATTTGTTCAATTCCAAAATCGAAACAACAAATACAACTTTTTCGTTCATATTAAAGTAGATATATTGTGTATTTAGTTTCATTTCAGTCTAAAAGTTTAATAATTATAATTTTATACACACACACAATAAGAATAATTTACAATTTTCAGAGTATATTACTAAATTTCTCTTAAAAAGGTCTCTTTCAACAGATAAAGTTAATGGAACTATCTGATAAGAGTATAATAAAAACCACTTTTTTCTTACTCGTATATTGATAGTATAGATATTAATTTCCATGTTAACGAGCGCCATCTAACGGATATGTCATATTTCTTGATAAAATATCCAATGAAATTTATTTTTCTTGTATGGATGATCGTAACATAGTTGTTGTCCTTCTTAGATGATAATAAGTGTAGGTTGTTTATCATTGACGAAGTTAAAAATTTACAGATAACTTCTTTCATATCTTCAAACATATCAAAGAATGACGACAACAGCTAAATCCTCCGCAATCTATCGATTAATTATGGTAAAAAAAGCAAAAATGAAATTGAATCTTAAAAATATTTCATCATTTACTTAGGTCGGAAGTGGTGGTGTTGGTAAATCAGCATTAACTCTTCAGTATATGTACGATGAAGTAAGTACAGCATCAATTTATTTAGTAAAATATTAGAAAAATTTTCATTTTAGTTTGTTGTTGATTATGAACCAACTAAAGCTGATTCATACCGAAAAACAGTTATGCTTGATGGTGAAGAAGTTCAAATTGATATATTAGATACAGCTGGTCAAGAAAATTA